TAGATGTTTTCCTCTGAAAGACACAATTAGCTTTGTTTGGTTTTGGCTTTTCTGTAATTTTCCGCTTTCTGAATTTATATTCCTACCTATGAATTACCATTTACATTATGCAAATGTTCCCTTCTGTATCTGTGATGCATTTCCACCCTTTTGGAGATGGGACATGCAAGGGAGTATCTCGGGGGGAGTGGGGGCACCAGTTTTATTCCTGCTCTGACTATGGAGATGCTTGAAACCTTTTCTATATATTTATTTATATATACATACATACATACCTATATATTACAGATAATAGCAGCCCAACTCACCAGAATGACCATAGGAAGAGTACAGCCTAGTGTACTGTAGTAATGTAGTGGTTAAGATGCTGGCCCAGAAACCAGGAGACTGTGAGTTCGAGTTCCACTTTAGACATGGCAGCCAACTGGGTGACTTTGGGCCAGTCACATTCTCTCAGCCCAACCCACCTCACAGGTTTGCTGCTGTGAGGAAAACAGGAGGAGGAAGAAGCATTAGGTATGTTAACTGCCTTGAGTTATCTATAAAGTAATAAAAGCTGGATAAAAATTTAATACTATAATACAGAGGATAAAACCTCACCCCAAAATAGCTGCATTTATTTAAAAAAAATAAATATCCAATAATATAGGAATCATATAGTATATGTCTGGGGTTGAAAACTAATTCCATTTCTAGTCAGTAAAATTGTTACTAAACAATCCAGACAGTGGGGCTCATATAATCTCTCACCCCAAGCACCATGGAACTTACTAGTAACTCTTTAATGCCAAGATCATCCAAATCTCTGTGGACATGGTGTTCCATAGGACAAGCATAATGAAAGAAAAGACATGGCTTCTAGATCCCACAAGATAACATTTGCCTAATAGTCAGGATAGACCTGGAATGTGCCTGCTGGCTTTGGTGGGACAAGCAAGGCAATCAGAGATAGGTAGTCCAGAGGTGGTATTCAGCAGGTTCTGACCAGTTCTGGAGAACCAGTAGCAGAAATTTTGAGTAGTTCGTAAAACCAGTAAATACCACCTCTGACTGGCCTCGCCCCCATCTATTCTCTGCCTCCCGAGTCCCAGCTGATCTGGAGGAAATGGGGATTTTGAAATAATCTTCCCTTGCCATGCCTACCAAGCCACGCCCACAGAACCGGTTGTTTAAAAATTTGAATCCCACCACTGAGGTAGTCCCACAAGTAACTTGGCCCTCAGCCACAAAGAGCTTTATAGGACATAAGCAGCATTTTGAATTGTGTTTGAAATTCCATTGGGAGTTAGTGCAGCTTCCAGAATTAGTGGAACTGGCAGATACCCTCAGGGAGAGAGAACCCCACAAGTAACCTGGTCCTGTGCCATTAAGGGCTTTAAAGCTAATAACCAATACCTTCAATCACCCCTGGAAAGAAACTGGAAACCTGTACAGTTTATCCAGCAGTGGTGTAATATGGGTGAACCATAGGGTACCCAAAACTGTATGTTCCACCAATTTCTGGATTGTCTTCGAGGGTACTCCTACATATAATGCATTGCAGCAATCCATCTGGGAAATGACCAAGGAGTGAAAAGCATGGCTTCTCACTCCAGGAATGGGTCCAAGTGGAGCACAGGATTAATCTGTGTGAATTCCTCACTAGCTCTGTCCTGTGCAACCTTGAAAAGAATCAAAGATGGTATCTCACGTAAACCAGAGAGAACACACACACACACACACACAAATCCAGAACCACTCAATTTTGCTGGGGTTTATTTTTCACCAGACCTTAATATTGTGGTACACATTTGCACCACTGAGGAGCCAGCAACACTTTCTAGGAGTGCAACTGGAAGAGGTGATCCAGGGCTACTTGATACTTCAGGCCCCATGCAGCCCTGAGAAGGTACAGCCAAACCAGGATCAATCTTTACCACAAATCTAATTTATCTCTCTTCTCAATGGATTTCCAGCCATGGCCAGAGAGAATTGTGTTGCCTGAGTTAGACTTTTTTTTTAAAAAAAATAATGGGCCAAATTCTTTCTGTGCCTGAGGCAGAAACCTCCTGAAGCACCTGTCTCTGGATGTAGTGGTGTAAAGATAACAATATAAGAAATAATATGCTGCTCATATATAACACCAGGTGTTGCTCTACATCTAGCTAAAACTGAGTTCAGGCAGGAGAAATAAGAGCCAATAGCCAATTCTGTAAGCAGCCATGGAAAACAAGACCCCTGTTTTAGTTGTAATTTATCAGCAAGATTCCATTATCAACAACTTCTCATTTGTTTCTAGACAAATTGAAGTTGAAATAAAAGCTTTGAAGTCCGTAGTTTAGTTATGAGAAATATTTCTGTACCTGTCATCCCGTTGAACACTCCCAAAACATTTCACAAAATGATGAAATAGTTCTGAAATAAATAATTTAAACATGGAGCGATAAAACAGAATAAACTTCCCTACGGGTAACAGTACAAAGATTTGTTACAAAAGATGCTGTCCGTGGATTCTTTTATGACTTTCTTGTGGGTCTCATCACACAATGAGACAAATAATCAATGTGCAAATGGAAAAGAGGGCTTTTCTTATGTTTGTCTCCTTGTGAGAATTCCCAGACTGGTTTATTTCTTTGTTTCAATGGGCAGGAAAGATATCTAAATGATATAGAATCTAAAGGTTTAGTTCTGCTCTTCTCTGTTTTAAAATAAGTCTGAATTCTGATTTATTAGTTTGAATTTAATCTAATGTTATGTTCTGTGTACTGTGGGAGTACGGAAAATCCATAGGAAAAGATCTAGAGGTGCCTAATGAGATTCAGCTACAGAATTTTAGAATACATTTTAATCTTGTCAGTTTATTCTGTTTAACATATGCCTGCTATCAAAACTCTGTGCGGCAAGCCCCATCTTAAGAGGCACTCCCAGCTTTCTGTCTCAAAGTGAAATATTCCTTTCCTAAGAAGATGCCTAATCTCATTCAATGCCCTTCTTAAAATCAGTCTGCTTTTTGTTCGGAACAATTATACCCATCTTTTTTAAAGGTCTCTTTTGCCCAGAAAACTTTCTCAATTTTGATAAATGTGGATAAATCTATGTTTTCTGCTTAACTGGCATACTAATTTTCTTTTGCTTTATTCAAAGAACGAATTAGCAGCGACTATCTTAAATTCAACATTCATTTAATGGCTCAGCTATAACTCTGTGTTTTGTGATCTCTTTGTTAGTTGCCTCTAATTTTCCATGCACTTTCCCTTTGTACTCTGTTAATAAGTTCAATTGACTGGGGAAAACCAATAGATGAAGCATCTGGCGACCAATGAAGCAACTGACCATTCAAGCAATTAACATAGATTTTTTTTTTAAATTCATGCAACACCAGCCAGGCATTTGCCTCAAATCTTCAACAGCAATCAAAAGCCATTGCCCTGAAAAAGAGATGCACTATTTCTCTTTTTGTATGCTAAAAACCAGCAGCAAGGAAGCAAATAGGCTGACGCATCTGCACTACCTTTCTGTTTAAACCCTGCAAAACATAATATCCAAAGTGGACAGAAGCTTCAGTCTAAGCCGCTGGGCAGAGATATACATAATAAATAGAGCCTGCAAAATGAAATTTTAAAAAAATGAAAATAAAAGCAAGGAAGACCAAAAGCAAATGACACGTGCCTAATATAATCCACCAAACTCAGCCCTGAAGGGGGAATGAAATCCCTTTGACAAAAGTTTTATGCTTTATTTAGCTCCCTCCTAAAGCAAAACTTCAATGCTGGCTGGTGTTTTTTTTAACCCATGTGTGCTGTTGAGAAGCCATTGAAGGGCTGGCATAGGTCGATTCATGATAATGCTGATCGGATGATGCCGTAATATCACACACAGCCAATTTGAAATGAGTCTATTCTGCTTGTGTCAAAATAACAGAAATGGGAAGATTATGAATGAATTATCTTTTCAACCTGTAAACCCTGGAAATTGACTAGATTAGCCTTCCCCACACTGCTACCCTCCAGATGTCGGACTTCAACCCCAGCCTCATTAGAAGATGACATTTGAAAACTAGCACATCTGGAAAGCACCAAATTGCTGGAGAGCTAGATAGATGGAGGGCTATGAGAAAATGAGCAGCAGTAATTTTTATAGTAACGATAGAGTCAGAAGGAATGAAAGATAAGGATGATTATATTTTCTGAGTTTCGGGTTTTGCGAAGGATTTGGATTTAGATTGTTGTACTTTATTATGTTGGAACTCTGACATTTATGGATGCTTGATTTGGGGATTGTTTAGAATTAATAAGTGAAACCTCTTTTTAAAAAGTAGGATTTGGACATGAAATAGAACCCTTGTGGATTTTGCTTCTGTGTTTATTCAATTTATGCCCACTCCAGTTTCCAGATTCTCAAACTGGATATGCGATTAAGTCTTTAGCTTTAGTGATCTCTCCATGACATCACCAGGAATCAAGTTCAACTGAAAAGAGATTTTACTTATACCTCACCTGAAAAATATTTACAATACATGCTACTTAATAGTAATATATTACTATATGTATATATATATGGTTGAATCAGAAGTTCATATTTTACAAGATCAAATCATCAAAAGTTTTAAAAAGTCTAATCCATGCCATACTAATAAAATAGTATTGTGCTATTTACTTGCAGTTACAGATAATTTACTTGCAGGATATGGGTGAGTCTTTGGGGCCTGAATGTTTTTTGTAACGCACCTGATTGCAATCCTGTACATAGTAGAAGTAAATCCTATAGATTTCAGTGGTATGTGATTCTTAGAAGCATAGGATCACATAGTAACACTCTCAGTTCAAAGATAGAAAATAGTCCCCTTCGCATATTTCAATATCCAATCATGCTAATGGCTATATTCTAAAGATTGGGGGGGGGCTACAGTTCCCTACCTCTGTGCTGTACCCTAGACTTTCACCTTGAACTTTGCGGAATGTATTTGCTCATATATAAGCCTGCTGAGATTGTCAACAATTATCATTCTTTTCTCCCATTAGGCTCGGAATCGAAAATGCGGGAGGTTTGCGCTGGTTGCAACACCCCAATCTCAGATCGCTTCCTGCTGCGGGTGAATGAGCGCTCCTGGCATGAGGGCTGTGTGAAGTGTGCTGCTTGCCTCCAGCCTCTCTCAGGCACATGCTATTGTCGCAACAGGCAGCTCTACTGTAAGCATGACTATGAAAAGTAAGTGCCGGAAATTTGACTGTCTGAATGATTAGCTTGTATATTTGCCTTTGTAAGAAATTCACCAACTGAGAGAAAAGGCAGGCGGTTTTCAAAGATGATTGTGAAGGGATGTATTTATATACAAATATGTGCGGGTGTGTATCCATCTATCTATCTCTACACATACACACTTACTTAGGAGTGAGTTGGCAGGTTTGCAAGTTGGCTTCAGTTGTCACCAATATCAGAGGAACAAATTTCAATCTACATTAGCAGTAAATAGCCATTTGATGTCATAACAGAATCTTGCAGAGGTTGTGGTGTCATCAGCTGTCATGCATGCAGTTGTAATGTCACAGATGAACAGAGCAGCTTATTGCTGGGCACAGATTGGACAGCTAAAAATTGGAGAGGCAAAAACCACTTGGTCCCTTCCGTCACATTTGAATGTTTGTACAATGACATACTGTTGGTGGAAATCTGAGTGATTCTGGCATCTTTTTGACCTGTTATGTATGATATTGTGTTCGTTTTTGTTACAATCTTTTCTTATCTAAGGACCATCGTTCTCTGAGGGATGAAGACTTCTAATGAATGAGTTTACTGCTATGTGAACAGATTGTTAACAGTGTATTGAAATCCATTCTTAGATAGAATTTCATGAAAGCTGTGTATTAGTTTTTCGGCGGCAAACTAAATCTGAATTCTGCAGAAAACAGAAAAATCCAGTTTTGAGACAAGAATATATTAAGAGTAATAAGAGACATTGCAAGAGTAAGCTTACTTTGTGCTAATTTATTCTTCTGTGTTGAAGTTGGATTTGAAGGAACTGTTTGGCAAGTGAACAGGACTGTTTAGACAGTTATTGGTAGAATGTAATGTGGGGATCTCAAGTCAGTAATGAAATGCTACTACAGTTGGTATGAAGGCAGCAGTTGTTAAAATATCACAGTTGGTAACTGAGCAGCTAGAGGCTAGAATTAGGAGCAAAAAAATCAGACAAGATATTAAGGGTTTGTTTCCCTGGGAGATAAAAATATTTGAAATTATAAATTATAAAGAAGGTGCAAAAAAAGACCTACATGCATACTGTACATTCTCCTCATGCTGCTCCCTTTCAAGACAAGGACTGAGTTCCCTATATCTTATTAATTTCATTGATTGTTATTGGCTTGAGCGCATGATGCTTGAGAAACATCTTTTCCATAAAGGAAGTATTAGGTCCTCTTTTGGAAAATACTCTCCTGGATAAGTGGGAACCGTTCTGGGGATTGTCCCAAACCAAACAATTGTTTTTTGGGGTTTCCTTCCTTCCTTCCTCCTTCCTTCCTTCCTTCCTGTCACTTCTACCAACTACTAGACAAACCCCTGCAGTTTTGTTGGCAAGATTTCAGAAATGCTTTGCCATTGCCTCCTTCTTAGGGCTAAGAGAGAGGGGCTGGCCTAAGGTCACCCAGCTGGATTCATGCCTAGAGCTGAACTAGAACTCAACAGTCTTCCAGTTTCTAGTCTGATACCTTAATCACTACATTAAACTGGCTCTGCAATTCTTTGCTGATTACTAAATACATGGATTAGGTTTGAGTACATAGTTTAGATCAGTGCTTCCCAATCTTTTTCCTTCATTACCCAGAGCTGCTTATCAGAGAGTCCTTTTTACCAGTGGTGAAATCCTCCGCAGGTTGCCACCGGTTCACTGTCCACGCATGCCCACTGCACACCAAATGCACACTGTGCGTGCATGCACAGTATATGCCAAATGCGTGCTTTGCGTGAAAAAAGGAGCTGTTTGAAGGTAAGTAGAACAGCGAGGGGGGGAACAGCTGTGCCGTGTGATTTAGTTTCGCTAGAAAGCAGGATTTCCTGCTTTCTAGCGAATATAAATTGCGTGGCACAGCTGATCATCGGAAATACCGGTTTGGACGAACCAGTAGCTTTTATTACTACCGGTTTGCCCAAACTGGTGTGAACTGAGCATTTCATCCCTGCTTTTACCCAATGTAAGTACAACTCTTTAAGTCAGTTTAAATACCCCTGTTGTGATTGGATAATAGGTTAATGCATCATTACCTAATGAAAAACTGCTTTTACCCAAGTTGGATTAATATGTCCATGTTTGGGAAACACTGGTTCAGAGGATTTTTTTTTTTTCAATTGCAATTGTGCTGATAATAGAAAATATGTCTACATAGTTGAAAGGCTTTTAAAACTTGTGTGAGGCAATCTATTTGATCTCATAACAATAGAAATATTACATTGTTGACCTACCTTTGAATCACAACCAACATCATTTTGTGAATGACAAAAAATTGTTTCACATTTTATTATGTTTTCCTAATACTAATTTAACTAGATTCTTTGCCTCAGATTCCCAACAACTTCACACTTATTTTAAAATTCAACTTTCTTTTCACTCAACTAAAACAACTTACTATATCCCTGACATGAATTCCTCAGGCTTTTGTCTCCTTTCCAGAAAAAAAATGTCCAGTGGTGTCTGTGTGTGCCTACATTACATTTACTCTGTAATTTGCATTAGAAAGGTAAAGATGAAAAGGGAAGTTTAACCTTTTCCCTACCAGTAACTTCCCATTTTTCACAAATCACCCTCACCTCCAGCTGCTTTTAATTTTGCCAATATCTCAGACTTATGTCTACCTTGCAAACATGACTCTAAATACCTGAACTAATAAAGGAAACAAAAATTAAGTGGATGGCATTGAAGTTCCTTTTATGCCCATGCAAATCTTTTCCTTCTGAAAGTAATAAATAGGCAGGAAGAAAATAATAATTATTTTTATTTATATGCTGTCCAGCTCCCAGTTAGAAAAAACAAACAAACCTCTAGCTGCTTTATTACAGCCAATTGCAGAGGACTATATAAGTTTACTCCTGGTATAGCAGTGTATGCAAAATGTGTGCTTTTATCATTTTTCATGCCCTCTCCGTTCTTTGATGATATTAAATGCCAAGTTTCTCTATTCAGGTCAAAAGAAAGAGAGAGAGAGTACAAAGAAGATGTAACTTCTTTTGTAATAGCCAGCCCTGCTTAAAGTGGTGTTAATTTATGAAATTCTGAAGTAGAATAAATGAGTCTAGACTCTAATCCAAGATTACACTATTTAGAATAATAATGATCTGATTATCAGCATTCTTTGTAAAATCTAATTCTGAATAGTCTCAGAACATATATTGTGGTTAAATCACAATTGTGGTTAAATTTGCTGTTGTGTTCAGTATATTGTAATTAACTGATCATGATATTTGACATTTCATGGTAGTTAATAGTGTTGGATTATTTAATAAGTAATATATAAAAGATGAGCAGGCTGAACTATAAGGCAGAGTTAAACATGTCATCAATTTGGAATCTTTGGGCTCCCCTAGAAGACCTAACTCCAGTCCCCTCTGGATTCTGTTTATCCTTATCTAGTACCAATTTAGCATTGACCATTATTTAACCAGTTTTTTGTGTACAGGTAGCAATAATAAACTCTCTAGTGTTCTGAACTCAGTGAGCATTCCTGGTTCTTTGCACCTGATATAATCGTGGTGATTAGCAGCTCAATGTACTTATTAGTTGCCATGAAATCCCATGTAACAATGACATATAATGGCAACTAATGTTTAATAGTATTTCATAGGGAATATGCAATAATATTAACTCTTGATTGATGTCAGCCAAACCATGCTGGACATCATCAGAGCTAAAGTTTATTAACTGTCTATTTTGTGATGAAGCTGTACATTCTATATGCACACGAAGTTTTTTTTAATTTAAAAAGTTATCACTCAAAAGTTGTGTATGGAAGTCAGGCATTTCCATACATATAAAATATTTGCAAATATTCATTTTAATTTTGACTCAGATCTTTATTGTTAGAAATGGGAACTTTGCATGTCCCGTATCTAAATTCATTTTCTACCAACTGTTCCATGTTGGTTTTCATTAACAGTGCTAGCAGTTTGTTCAGTGATATTGTTAATTGACTTGCTTTATCGGTAAATAAATGTATCAATTTATCTGGGCAGTGGATAAAAAGAAATTCATGTGAACGGTACAATTTAGAGAAGAGTGCAGAAAAAGTATTGAAAGTAATATAAAATATGTATGCTTGAAATTATTAAACATCTTAAAGATCAGTTGTGTTAAGATTTCCATTGACTAGATGCAAAGTGTTGGTGTCCTACCTGCAAAACCAGATTAAAATAAAAATAAATAATGCAGAATAAGTGCCTATTAATGAATACTTCTATGTCAATTGATATTAAGATGTGAAGATTGCAAAATCCAGCTTTTAAAATCAGTTTTAAAATCTAATATTTAAAAAAAAAATCTAAGTGGGTGAAATAATTATTTTCTTGATGCATTTTTCAGAAATCGGTTATGAGTACATGTATGAAATAACTTTCAAGGACATAGATGGAAACTCATTTTTCTGAATACAGAAAGCCAATATCAGGATATACACGTATCATTGGGAGACCCCTTGCAGTTCCTTTTTTTTATCATATCCATTCCTGCATAGATTTACTGTATTCTGTTGTTACCTATTGGCCTTACTCCCTTGGTCCTCTAGGAATCAAACCCACTTTTTCATTAAATCCTTAATACATACTCACAGAAACAGTTGTGCAATTAAGCATTATTAGTGTCTGTATTTTATGGTCTTTCAGGGAATCCCCTTCAACTTAGCATGTCAACCTGGATTTTCTCTCTTCAGGTGACATTGTGCCTTGTTTCGTTTTGCGTACTTTAAAATTATGTTAATCCGAGCCAGCTGCCTTTGGAGGCTTTCCTGCTGAGGATAGCCCTGGATGTTTGCCTTGAACATTTGGTGCACCCTCCTTGAACCCAAAGAATGCCAAGTGTGTAAGTTTCTTCTTCTTGCCCATCCCTTCACTCCCCTCCTTTTCCTGTCATCCTATCAACACTGTTGAGACTAAGCTTGTGTTGCATGCTCCTAAGGGCAAGGACCTTCCTTCTTTGTTTATTGTCTAGAAAAACTGCCCTGGTT